CCTAGCATCAGACCCATCACTTCCAAGTTGCCTCCTGATCTGGCATGCATCACCATCTTCAGTAGAGCCAATGCCGAGATTTTGCAGTACTTAAAGTAATGGTGACTGCAAAACAAAATCACAATGTAATTAAATTTCTTATATAAAGTAAAATTTCAGAAAAGTTTTTATGAAGATAAAGAGTAAGTATTGAAGGAATTTACAGCGATGGAAGGGGAGTGTAGACTATGGGGAGAAAAAGTAGAAAAGGACAGTTTTTGCAGGCTGGAAACAATAAGTATGTTATAGTCCTGCAATGCATCCCCCTTGGGGGAGGGGAAAAGTCTGAAATAGTTTTTTAATATGCTAAATAAGGGAGTAACATGACCAGTTCAATAGACTTTTTCTCCATTAATCTGGAATCACCCAATCTTGGATTCTGACTGCTTGGATGGTTGTGCCTAACTGTTCTGAGGCCTAACCTCTGGCCTAATGGTTAAGAATGTGGGTTCTGACATTCATCTGCTAAGGTTTGAATCTTGACATTGCCATTCCCTAGCTGTGGTATTGGGACAACCATGTAATGTCTATGCCTAGGTTTCCTTTTCTGTAAATAGGGATAGTCATAATTGTTATTAGGATAAAGTAAATGAAATAATGTATATAAAGTGCTTAGCTTAGCACCTTACACATACTAGAACCCTAATAAGTGCTAGCTGTTATCAGCATTATTAACCTGTCTCTTAACCCTACTCTCAAAGAACAGAGTGTTGAAGGGTGGGCTTCCCTGTTATATCAGCCTCAAATTAAAAAGTAGCCATAATATCCTAGTCTTCTATGATCATTATTTCAGAGTTGGTCATCAATGAATTAAACTCTTGAATAAAATTACATTTTGGTCTCATTAGTGCAGCCCAAGACAGCTAGGATGAATATAATTAGAGCCACAATTAGACAGTGAAGCAGGCCGACAGTTTCCAAATATTTAAGAGTACACAAACCTAAAATGCACAACCTGCTACAGAAACAAGCAGACAACCAAGCAACTTAAGCAGCCTTACAAAGCAGTCAGTCAACGTCTCTACAAAGCCTTTTTAGATGTCTGCCCACAGAAAGAATCCAAATTTAATTCCTAAGCTTTGCCAGATTTCAACCAAAAGCTGAAAAATGTGTAGACCTCATGTTGGAAATCAAGACATGAATCGAAATCTTGGCTTCTCCCTTTACTGGAGAAAAGAAGAAAGACAAGTTACTGTGCTCCTATTACATATATTCTAGATGACTCTTTTTATACATTATCTCACCTAATCTCTATGACAATACCAATAGGTAGGTCTTATTTCCATACTATGACAAATGAAGATGGATAAGTAAATTTCCTAAGGTCAGTCAACCAGTTAGTGACAGCTGTGAAGTTTGATCTTAGGTCTGACTATTGCTCAGCTAAGAGTTCACTTATCTCAGTGTGATCATAAATTACATAATGTATTTGCTTGTTTTTTAATTTGTAAAAAAAGGATGGATATACTGTACTGGGTTGTCATAAAGATTAAATGACGTGGAAATCTCTAGCTAGATGCTTCCGCAATTCACCATTGTGGAATCTGAATACTGAGAGACAAGGCTAGCTTTGTAAAAAAAACTGTGAGGCAGTAGAAGTATGTCCTCTTGTTGACTGCAGCTCTCATTTCTATGTAACCATTAGCTTTTGTGCTCCTTTTACTCTCTCTCAAACATAGCCCGTAATAATTATCTTTTCCTGAGAGCAGGAAATCTCTCAGGAGATGCTCTCAGGAAAACATAAATATTATGGGTAAAGATCCCTCGACTTGTCACCACTCCCAGGGAAAAATGGGTATTGTTGAAGGGCAAAAAGTCTTAAGCTCTATTTTTAAAATTTCTGGCTTATGGGAACTGATGGAGTAACATTGTAGAGACCAGGTAGAGCCTCCGTGTGCCTCCGAAATAATTATCAGCAATCAAAAAACTATTATAGACCCAGGCCTCACGCCTGTAATTCCAGCATTTTGGAAGGCCAAGGTGGGAGGATCGCTTGAAGGCAGGAGCTCGGGATCAGCCTGAGCGACATAGCGAGGACCCACCTCTAGTTAAAAAAGAAAATAAAAGAAAATAGCTCATAGCTATTTTTGAGACCTTGAGCTGCTGACTCGATTTCTGAAAACAGCTGCGGTCCCCAGTAAGGGAATAGCTGAAGACCCAAATAAGGTGCATGTCGACACTGGGTTCAAGGCAGGGTGTGCGGCATATATGACAATACGGATGTTCAGAAGTGACAACTTAAATCACCGCTTGTTGTTCTCCCCTTACATCATCCGGGGGTAAATGGATTAAAGCGACAGAAAGGGAAGTCAAAGCCCCAGCGGAGGGCTTAGGCTCTACTTGCAGATCCAAGGCGCATATTCTGTTCCCCTCCCCGTCGGTGAAAGCTCTTCACCCCTTTCACCTCCCTCTCCCTCTGGGTCTCTTAAACTCCCGCCAACCCTTCCCTCCCCTGCGTCTCGCCAGGGACCTCCTCACTCCTTAGTCCAGGGCTTCGCCGCCAGGATTTCTTGCTGCTGTTTCTTGTCGTATTTGTAGATTTCATCGATACTCTGAGCTTCCTGCATATTGTTGGCCAATTCCCAGGTTTTCTGAGCCATACCGCTCCCGGACGCCGCCATTGCAGAGAAAGCGGAGAAGTTGTCGTCTCTACAACCAAGACGCAACTTTACCTCGCTAGGTCTCCGGGTGTGGGCCTTGACCCTCCGCACCACGGGAACAAACTCTTACCTAGACTCTCGGGGCAGCCATGACACCTAGAACCGGAGGTGAACTTGGTAGAGACCATTCAGGGAAGAGACAGGGACCTTTCCGGGACGTGACGATATAAGCAGCAGTTACAGGAATAGGGAGAGACGAATCTTCTTGTGACTTAAATTAGAACATCTTGTCTCGGAAAATTGTATGTGTGAAATAGAACAAACAGAATTATAGGGTATGGGAATGGTATAGTCTTCCATACCGGAAGAAGGGCATGTAACGTTATTCCAGAAACTGTTATTTGCCTTCTCTGCTTGTACTGCGCAGGCTCGGTCTCCGCCATATTAAAGGTAGTTGGAGCCTTAACGGTGGGATGTGGAGGGCAGAAAGTGTTTTTGTGTGGGTCTAGGTACCTTAAATGAGATAAGTTTGTTGAAAGACTAAAGGGTAAGGCCGTCTGTTGTACAACTGAGCTAAAAGTCGTTCTGGAAGCTGGTTGAGAGGAAGATAAACATGGCATTCCAGTTTACTTCAAGATGACTCACTGCACATGCGTAAAAGCTAACGGGCTCGTGGTGGCTTGGCACTTAACTTGCAGATGGGCTTTTTCTATCGATGCCAGGAGGCAGTGGGTACTCCTTGATTGCTATTGTCATGTCTTTTTGGGTGTCGGTAAAAATTAACATCTACATATGCATAATGTGCCATTACTGATCTGAAAATGTCCAGTACTCCGTTCTTATAATAGGTTACAGTTAAATCTTTGGTACTCCTGTGAACCGCATTTGTTCCCAAAGCGTAATTAATCTCGGCAACTGGTTTGTTTTCTTCCTACAGTTAATACAATGTTCAATTATTTTTTAAATTAGTTTACGTGTTTTAGGTTTTCTTTTTTCTCCATCTCATTTCTCCATCCATGCAAGATTTTAAGTTTCAAGACACAGGGAGCAGGTCTGCGTTCCTTGTTTTATCTCCTAGCACCTAGCATAGGTGTTCAAGATTTTTTTTTTTTCCTTTCCTGAAAAGATAGCATCACAGGCCAGGCGCAGTGGCTCACGCCTGTAATCCCAGCACTTTGGGCAGCCGAGGCGGGCGGATCACTTGAGATCGAGAGTTCGAGACCAGCCTGGCCAACATGGTGAAGTCTCTAAAAAAATACAAAAAAATTAGCCAGTCGTGATGGTGTGCGCCTGTAGACCCAGCTACTCAGGAGGCTGAGGCAGGAGAATCGTTTGAACCCAGGAGGCGGAAGTTGCAGTGATCCTAGATCGCGCCACTCCAGCCTGTGAGACAGAGCCAGTCTCAAAAAAAAAAAAAAAAAGAAAAGAAAAGAAAAAGAAAAAAGAAAAGATAGCACCACAGCTGTTAACAACCTGGCCCCTACGCACCTCTTCCAGCTTCATCTCTCTTTAGTCCCCCCTGAAACTTTTCGTTCTAGCAATGCAAATATATTTCCTTTGGCTTTGCATATGTGGTCAGCATTGCTTGAAATGCTCTTTCCTACATTTTCTGCCTGGGAACTCATATTAATCTTTAAAAATACAGTCCAGTGAGATCGACCACGAACTCTTTCTTGACACTCCAATGACCATTCCTTCCATGATGTCTCTTAAGTCTCTGTAGGTGCTTCTGTAACTGTTACAATGCGTTGTAATAATCAGTTAAGACAAAAACATTGGAATTATCGAATCCACACCACAGCTTGCTGTTTTGGCACTTTCAGTTGAAGAAAATTTGCTTTAAAACCATCTTACAAAGAAATTTAGGGTAAAATAGTACATTAATACCTACCCTTAGTTCCACTCTCCTGGGAAACTAGAGGTCTCTTTTCTAGTAGTAGCATATGGCCATATGCTATTGTATTGGGGTGAACTGAATAACATGTTGAAAATGATAAGGAAAGCCCAGGACCCAACGTTGACGACACTCCTGGGCTAGAGAGGTATGCCAACATTTTTCCTCTCACTACCTCCCCATTTTTCTTTCCAGGCTCTGACACTGTTCCCAAGCTGGCTGGTGCATGGGAGGTTGGAGAGGCTGAAGTAGATTTAGCCTGAGAAGTGGCCCCCACGGTTTAATAGCCCCTGGGCAAAGCGGGAGAACGGGTTGTCCAAGTCCCCTGCCAGGGTGCTGGCGAACCGAGAGAGCAGCGGGCAGCTATGCGGCCTCCGGGACAGCAGGGGGCGATGTCTTGCCGCGCGGCCGCCTGCAGTGAGGGCGGGGCCGCACCAGGCGGAGGGCGGAGGGCGAAGGACGGGCGGAGGGCTGGGCCTGAGGGGCGGAGCCCAAGCCCGGAGGTTTTTCGCGCTGTTTCCGCGCCAGGTGGCGGCTGCTACCTTTTCGGTTCGCGACGATCCTGTAGAGCACTGTTCGTCTCCCGGTCTCAGGGAGCCCGCTCCCCTGAGTAAGAGTCAGCCAGCCGCGGATGGGGAGCGTGAGCTGCGGGGTGTCGTGCGGTGTGGTGTGGGTTGAGAGTGGAGAGTCCTGGGGCTGCATTCGCGGCCCCGGAGCGGGGGTAGGGGCAGGGGCTCCCTCGGGGCGTAGGTCTCGAGGCAACTAGGCCGGCGACGTGCCGGAGTTACAGGCTTTGGAGTCTGGGGGTGGAAGAGGGGGGTGGTTTCTTGTCGGCAGGGGGCATCGTGGCGGTTGGGCGCGGTGGGGGAGGTGCCCGAGTTACGGGTGTGGAGAGTTGGGGTCTCGCGGCCGAGAGGCGGGCACCATTGACTGAGTTATGAGGGTTGGGGGCGGGAGTTCCTGTGAGCAGGGGTCTTGCAGCTGCCGGGTTCGGGGAGGTGCCCTGGTTACACGGTCGGGATTCCTGGGCCACCGTGGTCGCTGCCGCCCGCGGTGTTGTTGTTAGCTGGTTGCCTGACGACGCACTGACGCTTCCTAGTCAGTCACCTCCAGGGCCTGAGGGCGAGCAGTGCCTTGGTTCCCACGCGCCTCCTCTACCCAACTGCGAGGCCTCCCCTGCTCTGTCAAGCCTCCCCAGGCGCCTTTCTAGCCCCTCGGTGCTTGTTATTGTTAACGTGGGAGTGCTTGTGCGCACTGCTTTGCTAGTAAAACTTACTTAATCTTCACTGTAGCTCGGTATTGTTGTTACCGTATTTCCCCCCGTGATTGCCCGATTGCTTGAGCTTGAACCTCTTGTTTCTAACTGCCTTGATTTTAGGAATCTTACGTGGGACTTGAATCCAGTTGTCAGTACATGTTATTAATGGAACTCATCTTTTGAGAGAGGCTAGCTCTCAAGATTGTAGGATTAAGACGCTTAACTAGGATTTCGGGGAAGACTAAATTCTGAAGTAAACCACCACCTGGTTTCCAAACACCATGGAAAATGCAGGGGCCTAAAAGCAACCAATAGGAATTTGTAAAATGCTAATTTAGGCCTTTTACAAGTTATTTAGGCTCTGTTCTGTGTGAAAGAATGACTTGTCATGTTAACAAGCTCCATGGAAGCTACTGAGGTATTTTCTCCGTATCATTCTTCTCCCTAGGAGGTCGCTAGCTTTCTGGTGATTAAATATCTACTGAAATGCTCCACAAGGATCAATTTTTTGTTTGTTTGTTTGTTTTGTTTTTGGAGACAGGGTCTCACTCTGTTGTATAGGCTGGAGTGCAGTGCACCATCTGGACTCACTGCAACCTCCCCCTTCCAGGTTCAAGCAGTTCTCCTGCCTCAGCCTCCTGAGTAGCTGGAACTACAAGTGCATGCCACCACGCCCAGCTAATTTTTGTACTTTTAGTAGAGAAGGAGTTTCACCTTGTTGGCCAGGCTGGTCTCGAACTTCTGACCTCAAGTCAGAAGCCTTTGCCTAGGCTTCCCAAAAATGCTGGGATTACGGCCCTGAGCCACATGCCAGGCCACGTTTGGGTCTTCTGCCAGATAGCCTTCTGGGAGGCAGTGGGTGCGTTTAGACAGAGTAAATTGAAACAGGCCACTTTCGGTACAGTTTTTCTCAAATGAAGCTTTCAGACAAATATTATTTAACTGTTACACATTTGAGCAGATTTCAGATTATCCTTTTTTTTTTTTTTTTTTTTTTTTTGAGACGGAGTCTCGCTCTGTCGCCCAGGCTGGAGTGCAGTGGCCGGATCTCAGCTCACTGCAAGCTCCGCCTCCTGGGTGTACGCCATTCTCCTGCCTCAGCCTCCCGAGTAGCTGGGACTACAGGCATCCGCCACCTCGCCCGGCTAGCTTTTTGTATTATTTTTAGTAGAGACGGGGTTTCACCGTGTTAGCCAGGATGGTCTCGATCTCCTGACCTCGTGATCCGCTCGTCTGGACCTCCCAAAGTGCTGGGATTACAGGCTTGAGCCACCGTGCCCAGCCCCAGATTATCCTTTTAACATCATTCTGACTTAGGTTCTGATGTACTTTTCTGAGTGGCAGGCAAGGATGTTTGAGCAAGTGTTTCAGCAATTTGGCATAACCCTAAGGCTAATTTATGTTATTGCCCTTTATCACCATTAAGGGTGTATTATTAGTAGCTGCTGAAAGACTTCAACATGGTTTTATATATTTATTCACTCTCTCTTTGTATCCTGTCTCCCAGCCTCCCTCTTTCCCCCAGCAACAGTATTTACATGTTAGCAATATTAGGGAAATTTGTCAAAATTTGGGTGTACCCATGGGAGGAAGTTGCTCATGTGGATGCCATCTGCCAGGAGAAAGATGGAGAACCTTTCATGCGGTAGACAGATCTCTGGATGGATGAGAAGTGAGAAACATTGTCCTGGTCACTTTGTCCCTCCCTGTCTTCTAAAGCTCTTTCACTGGCCCCTCCCCCTACCCCACATGTTATCACACTTTGACACCTAGGTCCTGTTCCCCTACTCTAGGGTCTCTTTTTCCAGGCAAAACTTCTCCCACAGCCTTAATGATTATTTTATATACTGCTAGATCTTTATTTCCAGCCTGGGTTCTATTCTGAGTTCTAGACATTTTTAGATTGTTTTCTTCATATCTCCAGTGCATCCATTATGGATATCTCACATTTAGCTCCTAAACCCCTGTCAGCCGCTGTGGCAGGGGGCATTATCTTGTCCAAATTTGAGGACAAGAATCATGTTTATATATATACATATATATACATATATATACGTATACATGTATACTTATATACACATATATACACGTATACATGTATACTTATATACACATATATACACGTATACATGTATACTTATATACACATATATACTTATATACACACATATATACATATATACACATATATACATACATACATATATACACACATATATACATATGTACACATTGGTTTTTTTTGTTTGGTTTTTTGTTTTTTGAGACAGAGTCTCACTCTGTCACCCATGCTGGAGTTCAGTGATGTGATCTTGGCTCACTGCAACCTCTGCTTCCCGTTTTCAAGCAATGGTTCAGCCTCCTGCTACGCCCAGCTAATTTTTTATATTTTTAGTAAAGATGAGGTTTTGTCATGTTGGCCGGCCTGGTCTCAAACTCTTGACCTCAAGCCATCTGCTTGTCTTGACCTCCCAAAGTGCTGGGATTACAGGCATGAGCCACCATGCCCCGGCCACATTTTATATTTTTGATCACGCCAGCCTCTAGCACAATGTCTTGCTTTAGGAGGGGAGTCATTTTCCGTTTCTCATGCTCCCATAGTGGGAAGGAAATTTGTACTCCAGTTCTTGAGAGGGAAAAGGATAGGAGCAACATTTTCCCATCTTTTTGTGACTGATGAATTTGGGAGAAGGAATTGGGCAAACTCAGTTCTTACTGGGTTCTGTTTATTGGATTTGACTAGACTTAGCAGAATGGGTATGCTCTGGTCTGCTTATATCTATATGATAAGCATAACGAGCCAAAGGTTAAGATTTAGAGAAGTTGGTATAGATTATGATAACCAAGTATCAATTATTGATGATTTAAATCTCAGCATACTTTATGTTTGCAGGCTCTGTTTTTTTGTTTGTTTGTTTTGTTTTTTGAGACAGAGTCTCGCTCTGTCACCTAGGCTAGAGTGTAGTGGCACGATCTCGGCTCACTGCAAGCTCTGCCTCTCGGGTTCACTCCATTCTCCTGCCTCAGCCTCCTGAGTAGTTGGGACTACAGGTGTCTGCCACCAAGCCTGGCTAATTTTTTTGTATTTTTAATAGAGATGGGGTTTCACCGTGTTAGCCGGGATGGTCTTGATCTCCTGACCTCGTGATCCGATAGCCTCAGCCTCCCAAAGCGCTGGGATTACAGGTGTGAGCCACTGCGCCCGGCCACAGGCTCTGTTTTTAAGAGGTAAATCTTCATATATGCAAAGACTATAAAGATACAACAATAAACAATAAAAGAATTGATCTTTTTTTTTTTTTTTGACACTGAGTATTGCTCTGTCATCCAGGCTGTAGTACAGTGGCGTGATCTGGGCTCATTACAACCTCTGCTTCCTGGTTTCAAGCCATTCTCCTGCCTCAGCCTCCTGATTAGCTGGGACTACAGAGGTGTGCCACCATGCCTGGCTAATTTTTGTATTTTTAGTGGAGATGAGTTTTGCTGTGTTAACCAGACTGGTCTCAAACTCCTGACCTCGGGTGATCCATTCCCCTTGGCCTCCCAAAGTGCTGGGATCACAGGCATGGGCCACCACGCCTGGCCTGATCTGTTGATTTCCAAGTGTTAGGTTCTCTGTCATACTTTTTATATGCATTATTTTGCTTTTTCTTCATAATATACTAGAATAAATGATATTTCCGTTTTATAGATTAGGCATAATCTATAGGTATGTTAAGGAACATACTTGAGGTCATTCACGTTGAGATCAGTAAGTGATGGAAATATATTTCAAACCCAGTTCTTTCAATTAAACTGTTTTCCTGAGAACTGTTTATTATCTACATACTATGTACACAGCTACTGGGGAAATAATACTTGGCCATGATGTCTTGAAAAAAGTTGTGAGTGACTTTATATTGTAGAGTGTCAGAGATATAAATAATCTCATTTAGGTTTCTTTCAGCTGATTTATTTTTGGCAACTTAATCCTTAAATTACAAACTTTCTTACTGTATATTGTACATATGCCATATTTATTAACCCTGTCTCTGTGATTCACCAAGTAATTCTTGAATAATTGTGTAGTTGAAATATGTTTTATGTAAGTTATCACATGCTTTTAGGAGTGAGAAAAAGAAAAATGGCCGTGACATCTGACATCTAGAAACTAGTATTGCTAGAAACTAGCCTGGCATTCACAGTAACTTTGTGTTTTTCTGTTGAAGATAAACTGTTGTACAGAATGTCAACATCAGATAAGGCCACTCTGTGTCTATGATGGATCAAGACAAAAACATTCCATCATTGTGTCCAAACACAGACAAATGTTGTCCAAGACACAAGATACCAAACATTCCCTTTCCCAGCTG